TTCTCTCTCTCTCTCTCTCTCTCTCTCTCTCTCTCTCTCTCTCTCTTCTTCCCTCCCTGTCTCTCTCCCTCTCCCTCTCTCCCTCTCCCCAGGGGGTTGAAGGGGGGGCACTTAACTATCCACATCCCTATCCCTTTTTTATATTTAGAGCCACATCCCTATCCCTTTTTTATATTTATTTAGAGACAGAGTCTCTCTGAGTTGCTTAGGATCTCACCAAGTTGAGGCTGGCTTTGAACCTTGCCAAGTTGAGGCTGCCTCAGACTCCTGAGCTGCTGGAATTACAGAAGAAATGGTTTCTAATAATCTTATAGACACAGTCAGATTTTTAAATTGTGATTAATAACTTTTCTAAAACTGATTTTTAAAATTTTAAAATTATACCTTTTGATCTGACAATTTGACTTTTAGGAATTGTTTCTAATGGAATAATTAAACTATAGAACAAAAATACACAAGAATATTCATTATGATATGAAATTGAAAAAATCAAAATATGTATCATTAAAATTAGTGGAATAAATTATGCCTTGCTTTACTGCTATTAAAATGATGCTGTGTCTCTGTAAATGCAGAAGTATATCCACAAAATGGTCTTACTGAAAATTACATTATAAATCTACATATATGTTTGAACCCAGTGTATAAAAATGTAAATTGTATAGAAAAAGTCTGGAAACATGCAAAAATGTTACTGTGTTTTGCCTGGATAATGGAATTATTGGAATTCTTGCATTTTTCTTTATTCCTTTTTTAATTGTTCAAAACATAACGATTAATATGTATTGCTCACATTATTAGAAAAGATAGTATACTTTATTTAAGTCTAAGATGTTCAGGGAACATTCTATAGATCAACACAATTCTGTGACTCCAAATTCTCTTCTTAAACTATACAAATTAGAGTTTTGTTGTCATTTTGTCATTTTATATATGCATGTTCTCTCTCTCTCTCTCTCTCTCTCTCTCTCTCTCTCACACACACACACACACGCACACACACGCACACACACACACACACTTTTTTTCACAGCACTGGGGATTGAACCCATAATTGCTCTACCACTGAGTTATATCCTCAAGCCTTTTATTTTAAGATAGGGTCTTGCCAAGTTGCCCATTCTGGCTTCAAACTTGCAATTGTCCTGCCTCAGCCTCCTGAGTAGCCAGGATTATAGGCATGTGCCACAGGCTCATTTTATATTATTTTATTAATTTCAAGACCAACACAGTCTTTGAATTAGAAATCACATTTTTAGATGACTTGGGGGTGTTATGTCTATTGCCCATTTTGTTCTGGGGCTGTAGGTTGCCAAGAGACCAAGAAAGAAACTCAGAGATGTGATATGAAGTACAGGATTTATTAAGAAATGCTTATGGGGGAGGTTCAGTGACAAGCAGCTAGATGGATTCTTCTCCAGAAAGGCCTGTGGTGATAAGCTCAACAAGTGTACCTCTGCTTTGTCCCTGGGCAGTGCTTCTCTCTCCAAGGTGCTCTGATTGGTACCAGCTACCACAGGAGGGAAGGTATAGGTTTTATAGGTTTAGTTACAGAAGCAGAATCAGCTTAGCTTGCTTTGTCTCATTGTATGACCAGCATACCAAGGAGCAGCTGTCCTGGCATGTGTGGGAAAAAAAAAAAATGGGTTTCTACAGATAATGCTAATTTGCCCTGATTCCCAGCATACATCTCAGAGAGCCAAGTGTCCCTCAAGATAATATGTATCTGGACATCTTGGCCTAGACCCAATTTCATTGTTCCTTTTATTTCATTTGACTGGGAACAGAAGGGAGCTTTCAGGGACATTGTGTTTTATCAACCCCCTTTTCTTAAAGATGACACAAGGAGAAACAGAATTTCAAGTATTCTGATGTTTTTTTCTATTTTGGACACCTCTGAAATGGATAAATTCCAATGAAAAAAAATCATGTTTTTCTTTCTGGTCTGATAATCTTTTAGTCAGTGGCTATTGCTCCAACAAATTCATTTTAATATGTTCTTTATCTAAATTTTTAGAATCAGAATAAAATATAAATAAGAATTTATTTCTGAAAGAAGGCAGGCTAAGTATGAGTTTCCTTCAATAATAATAGGTACAGTAAGGGATACTTATAGTTATCTCTAACAAACCATCTGTTCTTTTCTACCAACTACACCATCCACAAAGTAATATAAAAAGATTGCTCTTTTTTCTACCATTAACTCCCACTCCATCTCACTTCAGGTATTCCAAAGACATTTAGAAAAACTTGGAACCAAATTGGTATGCAGAAGCATCACACTGCTAATGCAAAGAGAATATATGAAAAATGTCTTCTACTTTACTACAGAAGTAGAGAGAAAAAAGCAACTGGAGAGAATGAACATAATCTTACTTTTTTGTTTGTTTTTGTTTTTGCAGTTCTGGGGATTAAGTCCAAGGCCTTGTGCATGCTAGGCAGGCCTCTACCACTGAGCTGTCCCCAGCCCACCTTAAATTTTAATATTTCAGATTTTAAAACTTTGGATTAGTATTCTCATTTTTAGCTTCACAACAGTTCTGTGAAATAATCAAGGCAAATATCTTCTGTGTTTTCAGAATTTTAGATATCAAAGATCACATTTCATAAACAACAGAGGAAGAATTTTGACCTTTTTTTTTTTTTTTCCAATTCTAGGAATTGAACCTCTAGGCCTCATGCATGCCAAGCAAACTCTCTACCACTGAGCCACATCCCAAGCCCCAACTTCGACTGTACTTAGAACAAATCAGTGACAACCTTGTTGGATTTTATGGAATTTGTGAATTAGTGAATTCTGAGTAGTTGTGCTTTTTTTTTTTTTTTTTTTTTTTGTTTGTTTGTTTGGTACTGGGGATTGAATCCAGGGAGGCTTAGCCTCTGGGCCATATCCCCACCTCTTTTTATATTTTGTTTAGAGACAAAGTTTTGCTAGTTGCTAGGGCCTTACGAAGTTGCTGAGGTTGGCTTTGAACTCATGAACCTCCTGCCTCAGCCTCCCGAGCCCCTGGGATTACAGGCATGCACCACTTCACCCAACCTTGCTGTCATTTCTTACTGCCTTTGTCACAGGAGTTTCCCTTTTTTGTTAAGGTACTGCCTCATTTTTCCTTCTCTACTTTTATCTGTCATCCTTTATATTTGACTCTCATGTTTTTATTGCTCTGTTCCCAGAACACAATCTTCATAGTTCTGCTTCTATTTTTCTTATATCTTTTATCTTAATTACTGGCTTGTTTTCTCAATAAAGTGTGTACAAGTAATCTTCACTTTGCACAGTAGTGCAGGACAATGTGTGATGAAATCATGGAGTAATCTTGATTAGTTGGAACAATTACAGTCATCCCACAACTTTTATTTTTTTTTTGTCTAAACATTCAAATCTCTTCCTGTTTCTTACAAAAGTATAGATAAATGAGAAAATATTAAAACTAATAAATGATTTAGTATCCTGTGATTCAAAACATCAGAAATATTGAGATTTAAAATGTTTTCTTTATGAAAGCATAGCACAATCTCATAAAGTACTTACCTCCTTCTTGTTATAAAACTTTTTGTACAGAGTGAGCATTTCTTCTTGCCTTGATAATTATCTTTTTAGATTTCCTTTAACATTTTATACTTTGAACTTTGAGTGTTTTTATTCTCTTAACTTCATTTATGTTCAATTCAAATTTCATTTCCAGGATTAATCAAATTTCATTTCTTTGCTCATCTTTTTTGGTCAATTCCCTCTTTAGATTATCCATTTTTGTATGGCTTAATCACTGAAAGGAAGGAGGAGCCAAAACTACATGCTTTACTTTCTGTGCATGTAAAGAATGACAGATATGCATTGACATATCATTCAGATTTTGAAAGAAGGGATGTGGCCAGGCACAGTGGCGCACACCTGTGATCCCAGTGGCTTGGGAGGCTGAGGCAAGAGGATTGTGAGTTCAAAGCCAGCCCCAGCAATTTACCAAGGCCCTAAGCAACTTAGCTAGACCCCATCTCAAAGTAAAAAATTTTATAAGGGGACGGGGATTGGGGTCGTGCTTCTGTGATTAAGCACCCCAGGGCTTAATCCCTGGTACCAAAAAAAAAAAAAAATGATCTGATTGGCCACTCATCATAATATATGTCTTTATCTATGTAGAGATTTTTGGACTGAGAACCTTACAGTGAAGTTTTTATTTATGCATTATCCACAAGTAACACATGGTAACTAAAATTTAAACCATGTTGTTGGGGGACTGGTGTCGTTTAAACCATGGTAACTGAAATTTCTATGTATATAGACAATATAAAGTTAGAGCTGCATGTGTATATGTACTTTTAAACCTTTAGTTTTATCTGTATCTCTAGGCACATAATAGGTCATCAGGAAGGAAGAAGGGGAAGAAATAGTATCTCCATGAGAAAATTAGGTTTCTAAGCCAGATGTAGCGTCCCATGCCTGTAATCCCAGTGACTTGGGAGGCTGAGGCAGGAGGATCACAAGTTTTAGAACAGCCCAGGCAACTTTGTGAGACCCTCTCTAAAAATTTTAGAAAGCCGGAGGATGCGGGTAAAGTGCCCCTGAGTTCTATCCCCAGTACAATAAACAAAACAACAACAACAACAACAACCTCTATGTTTCTACTTTTTAAAATTGATGAATGAGAGCTAGGATTGTGGCTCAGTGGTAGACTGCTTGCCTAGTATGTGTGAGGCACTGGGTTTGATCTTCAGCACCACATAAAAATAAATACATAAAAATAAAAATAAAGATATCATGGGCTGGGGTTGTGGCTTAGGGGTAGAGCACTTGCCTCGCATGTGTGAGGCACTGGGTTCAATCCTCAGCACCACATATAAATAAATTAAATAAAGGTATTGTGTTCATATACAACTAAAAAATATTTTTAAAAATTAAGGTATCATGTCCATCTACAACTAAAGAAAATATTTTAAAAATTGATGGTTGAGGGCTGGGCTTGTGGCTTAGTGGCAGAGCATTGTGCTGCTTAGCATGTGTGAGGCACTGAGTTTGATTCTCAGCACCACATACAAATAAATAAAATAAACGTCCATTGACAACTAAAAAGAATTTTTTTTAAATGATGAATGAGTGCATAGATGCTTTTGGTTTTCCTGTTCTGAATTCTATAAAAATAAAACCCAGTACTTCCAGAAAGTCACATGCAAATCTGAAACCTTACTTGCCTTTTATTACAGGCTGACCTCTGTGTCCCTCGATTGAATGAAGGGGACCAAGTTGTACTAATTAATGGTCGGGACATTACAGAACATACCCATGATCAAGTTGTCCTATTTATTAAAGCTAGCTGTGAAAGACATTCTGGGGAACTCGTGCTTCTAGTTCGACCCAATGGTAAGTACTCTATGCAATACTGGCTATTTGTCATAATTAGTTACTCTTTATTACTGGACATAACAGCCAGAGTGGGCTTTTAAAACACAAATCATGTCAGTTTCCTGATCAAAGCACAATGGCCTCCATTCATACTTGGAGAAAAATCCAAATTCTTGGTTTCCTTACTTCTTTACTCATCTTGCTCACTCTCCTCTATTCTACTACACTCAGTGGCTTTCTTTTCTTTCTTTTTTCTTTTTTCTTTTTTTTTCCTCCTATACTGACTTTCTATTTCTTTTTTTTTTAATTTATTTATTTTAATTAGGTATATATGACAGCAGAATGCATTTTAATTTATTACACACGATTGCAGCACAACTTTACATTTCTGTGGTTATATACTATGTAGCAGCTTCCTGTTTCTTAAATATTCTGATCTATTTTAGGGTTTTCATGTTTGCTGTTCCCTCTGCCTGATAAACTATTTTTTTGTTTTTTATTTTATTTGTTCTTTTTAGATATATATGACATTAGAGTATATTTTGACACATACATACAGGGAGTTTAACTTATTCTAATTAGTAATCCCATTCTTGCAGTTGTACATGATGGAGTTTTACTGGTCACGGATTCATATGTGAACATAGGAAAGTTATGTCCAATTCATTCTGCCATCTTTTCTATTCCCATTCCCCCCCCCCTTCATTCCCTTTTGTCAGAATTCACATATCAGAGAGAACGTTCAACCTTTGGTTTTTGGGGATTGTCTTTTTTCACTTAGCATAATAGTCTCCAGTTTCATCCATTCTGATAAACTATTCTTGATTTTTGTATGACTTTTGCCCTCACTTTATTCAGGTCTCTGCTAAAAGGTCATCTCAGAAAGGCTTTCTGTTTCTTAATCTATCATTAAAATAGCTTTCCACTTCCCCTAATTAGTTTAGTAGTAGTATTAAGTACCCAGTAAATTCTCAGTAGATGCATGAATAAATTTTGAATTCTGTTCCACTCCTAGAAAATTCCATAATAATCTCTAGTTTAAACAATTTGTGTTTTTAAATCTTGTCTAACTTTTCAGTAGATAATGTGCACTTGCCTAATCATATCATCTACTTATCTGGACTTGTTAATTCATAACCACAGATTCCTAGGTTTGAAGAAATGTCAGACCTCATAAGTTCTAGCCCCTTTGCCAATTGCACAGGTCTCTTCTACAGCAGCCTCAAAAACATCCTATCAATGTAGAGTACTTAGTGGTTGCTGAAGCAGTATATTCCGCCTTTACATAGTTTGAATTGTAAATTGAATTAAAGTTTATCTTCCTTTAATCCCTTCATTATTAATTCTATCATTTAATTCTATCATGCAGAATAAGTTTTAATCTCTCTTCCTTCAATTTTTTTGGCAAGAGCTAATTTTACCAAAAATACCCTCCATGGTCACCAATTTAACAGTCACAGAGCCTGGAGCCATTGTTCATAGGGCATTGTTTTTAAGTTTCAAGAAAAAATTCCTATGTAATAGCATTGAACATATTCTTCTAGTTTTGTTCTGAACCTATTGTCCAGCACACCCAACCCTACAAAATTTTGCCAAGTTTTTTTTTTTTTTATTAAAAAATAAAACAGAGCTGGGGATGTGGCTCAAGCAGTAGCGCGCTCACCTGGCATGCGCGGGTCACTGGGTTCAATCCTCAACACCACATAAAAATAAAGATGTTGTGTCCACCGAAAACTAAAAAATGAATTAAAATTTTTTTAAAAAACCTCTCAATCTCTCGGATAAAACCAGGCACCTTAGGGACTGGGGTTGTGACTCAGTGGTGGAACATTACCTAGCATGTGTGAGGCACTGGGTTCAATTCTCAGCACCATATAAAAATAAATAAATAAAGATATTGTGTCTAACTACAACTTAAAAAATTAAAAAATATTAAGTTTTTTAAAGAAGGCACTTTAATTTTATCTTCTCTACTTTGACTTCTCTATTCATAGTCAGTTATAAGGACTTACACAGATCATTCTATCTTGGTTTTTCAAAAAACTTGTTTATTTAGACCTGGTACTGAGGTGACTTATTCATTTCTAGGCATTTTCTGTCACTTAAAGCTTCCTAAGTTTTATACCAAGAATACTGTTCTTTGAATTTTACTTACTCTGTTTTTTCTTGATAATATCTCCTAAAGAACTTAAAAATAATGTGATTTTTAAACTTTCTATGTACATAGGCTCTTTTGTATGCTCTCATTTAATCCTCATGGCCATCCAGTGTGATAGTTGAAAATAATCCTCATTTTAAAATTGAATACACTTTGGTACAAGACATTCAGTTTTCTGTTCATGGATTCATGACTAGTGCAGAGCCAAAATATGAGCAAAAGCCCATATGATGGCAAAGACATGGCCTTCTTGAAATTTCAAATTGCCTGATTTACACTTTAATTTATGAGAGAAATCCACCTTTCTTGCAAAATGTTAGATTTTTAAAAAATATTTTTTAGTTATAGATGGATGCAATATCTTTATTTTGTTTATTTTTATGTGGCGCTGAGGATCGAACTCAGTACCTCATATGTGCAAAGAAAGCACTCTGACACTGAGCCACAACCCTAGCCCAAAATGTTAAATCTTTCTAACATTGTTTTGTAGTCAAAATCTGGGCCAGGACCTCTATTCATTTTCACTGTGGGTCCATCATGTCCATTTGAACTTAAAACAACTTATAATCAAAATTAAGTATGCTTACCAAGAATGTGCTTTTTATTTTCTGATCTTTTTCCCTCTAAGTCTTATTTCTTCTTAGGTAAACTAGTCTCTTTTTTTGTTGTTGTTGTTTTGTTTTGTCTTTGTGTTCTTCATTTCAGAAATTTATTTTTATCAAAAAATGCATACATATCTGAGAAGGAACCAGGTCTCCAGACAAGAGTAGCAGAGGTCTCAGCCTTGACTCCATATTTTAGAAAGCTTTTCTCTGTCTTTTCTTTAGCCATGTTCCTTCCAACAGGGTCAGGATTTTGCAAGGCCGAGAAGATATGTCAAGCCATCACCTCTAACTTATCTCTCCTTTCTTAAACACTCTTTTTACCCCTCAATTATTTGTCCAAATAACCCTGAAGCCACTTCTTAGGCCTTTGTAAGCATTTTCCACAGTCTCATTTCTCCCAACTGTGGATCTTGTGATATGTGTTCTCAGGGCAGCAAGGTAATTAAGATCAGTAAGTAGTTAGACAAGTAGTGAAGACAAAGCACACATGTGGGCCAGGATGTTTACATGTGTGTTTATAGGTCCCCATGTTATGGAATGGGGCTAAGAAGGTGAAAAGAAATAGTGTATTCTATAGGCTTAGGGTCTAGGTACTGAATCTGCTCATACTATCATGACCATGGATTCTGATTTAGAATTCTCTTTTTAAATCTGGCATCTCAGATTATTTTGTTGCTGTGTCAAGGAAAAAAGATAGAGCATATATTGCTTATCACTTTGTCCAATATATTTGTAACTTACATTTAGACATTTGTCATATGAACTTCTATTTGTATTCTTGTCCTCAGTCCCCACAATTTAAGAATAGGTCTATTCATAGCTACATCTTAGCAGCATCATTTTTTTTCCTTGATGTTTCTTCAAGTTACAGACATTTTTAGGCTTCTGGACAAAATCCTTTGTTTCCCCCACAGGTGCAGAAAAGCCCTTCAATTTCACAGCCACTCAGTTCCCACACCCTACATCAGATTAATATAATTAGTCAAAGTGAATTATTTTCTGACAAAAAACTGAAGAGCATATCTAATTCTTATAATGATTTACATTAAGATTTCTATGTGCATTTTTTGTTTTGTTTTAGCTGTGTATGATGTAGTGGAAGAAAAACTAGAAAATGAACCAGACTTCCAGTACATTCCTGAGAAAGCCCCACTAGATAGTGTCCATCAAGATGACCATTCCCTGCGGGAGTCAATGGTCCAGCTAGCTGAGGGGCTTATTACTGGAACGGTCCTGACACAATTTGATGTGAGTGATATCATTGTACAGAAAAAGTGTTTGCCCATATTTTCTAATTAGTCTCATGGTTTCTAACTGCCTAATCTACTTTCCATTATAATTTAGAAATAAAATGGTATCCTTAGAAATGTCTGATAATAAGAAGTTCCAAAACACAATTTTTTAAAAAATTGTTCCCATAATAATTAAGTTATGATTATATAAGTACAGGTTTGTTTTTAAAAAGAGGCATAAAGGAATTTTATATCTATATCATCAGACTACATTTTTTTTCAATAATTAAGCATCTGTTTTTATGAAAAGTAGAAGATGAAGATAAGCTATTACAGACTTTAAAATTATGAATTAAAGGAAAAATAACCTGCTTTGAAGTTTATACCTTGTTATATTTAATCTTTTTCTAACTTTGATCAGTGCAGTCCTTAAAACTCTTAAATAGATTGCTGAATCAGAAGAACATGAATGCTTCTTCAGTACTTATAATCTGTATTTTGATTAGTAAGCATACAGAGGGTTTTTAAATGCTTTGCTAAGAGTATGTGAACTTAATTTGCTTAATTTAGGAAAAGCAGGAGGTTTTTAATGTTTTTTAAAATGGCCATTATGAGTATTTATTGCTCTGAAGTATGAGTCATGTGTTTGTAATGATAAAACATTAAAGACACATGTCGGTTTTTTAAGTCTTGGTTCATGTGCTGCAAACACCTCCAAATTAAATGAAAGTCAAGTGTCCTCTGCAGATGTGGTACTTAAAATTTTAGGTACTATTGCTGTATACAAAATTGTTTTTATCTGTTTTTTAAAAATATCATATATTTAATTCTTCTCAGAACTACATAATTCAGCTTTCAAATTCTGGTTCAATACTCTAATAGGCCCAGGTACATCATTATGTAGATGAAGTATTCAAAGGAAAAAAATCTATTTCCTTAAAGTACAGAAACAATTCTAAAAAATAAAACAAGTTGTTGGACTGAAGATTTTTTTTCTTTTTTTATAGCAACTGTATCGTAAAAAACCTGGAATGACAATGTCTTGTGCCAAATTACCTCAGAATATTTCCAAAAATAGATACAGAGACATTTCGCCTTGTGAGTATCTATAATCTTTCCTAAATTTGATCTTTTTAACATAACTTTATTAGAACATTGTTTCTAGACTGGGGGTTTAGCTCAGTGGTAGAGCATGTGCAAGGCCCTGGGTTCAATTCCAGCACCAAAGCAAACAACAGAACAAAAACATTATTTCTTTTGAATTTTTACAGATGATGCTACACGGGTCATTTTAAAAGGTAATGAAGACTACATCAATGCAAACTATATAAATGTAAGTTGTTTTTTTAAAAATTATGTCTTTGTATTTGAAATAATAGGGACCACTCTAAGCTTTGGGATAAGGAATCTAACTTAGATGGAATATTTAAACTTGCAAATATTAAAACAATATTATAAAAGAAATGTTGAATAGTTTGATGTTGGTATATTAGTATATACATTGAACATTGAAATACACTACTTCAGTTCAGAGATAGATAACCTAAATGTTAAAACTTTTTATGCTAAATGTAGCCTTTTAAATCATTGGGAATACAACAGTCTATCTGAAATTTGGTGAACTGTCTAGAATTTACAATTGTAAGAAAGATTCTTTGCCCCCAGTTGAAGAGAAAAAAAGGATCACTCCTATTTTTTCTTAACTTTGTAATATAGAAATTTTCAAAGGTATAAAGTTAGAGCAAAACATAAAATGAAGGACTGAGGATGTGTAGCTCAATGGTAGAGCACTTGCCTAATGTGCGAGGCCCTGGATTTAATTTCCCACACCATTAAAAAAAGATAAAAGTAAAATGAACCTTCATATACACATCTCTCAGCTTCAGCAGTTGTCAGTTCAGGGCCAATCTTGTTTCACCTATATCCCCACATTCAGATTGTTTGAGCTAAATCTGTATGTCATATCATTCTATGAATACCTATTCATCTCTTGATGCTGACATCTTTTGAAATACATCAAAATGTAAGTGTTAAAAACAGAACCATGAAAGTCCTTGAGAGAAATAATGAGAGAATTCTTTAATATTTCAGAAAGGGGGAGGTTTTATAAGCTTAGATACATGTCTAATCTATAAAAAAAATATTGATGAATTTGGCAGTGTAAAATTTGTAATGTTTGGTATGCTTAAAAAGTACTAAAATCTAGTTATGCCCTGAATTTTTAAAATGCTAGAAAAGGCTTATTTCTTAAATATAGAAGAGCTCTATAAACGATTAAGAAGAATAAAGACTTGAAGTGAGCCATGGTGGCACATGCCTATCATCACAACAACTCAGAAGGCTAAAGGCAAGAGGAACACATTCTTGAGGCTAGCCTAGACAATTTAGCAAGACCCTGTCTCAAAATAAAAAAGGGCCAAGAATATATAGCTCTGTGGTAAAGCACCCCTGGATTAAATTCTCAGTAACCTAAAAAATAAAGAAGGACTAGAGATGTAGTTAATGGTAAGGCACCACAGGATTCAATCCCCAGTACCAAAAATAAATAAATACATATATACATACATAATACTTGGATGAGATTAATCAAATTATGTTATATAGCACAATGAATCCCACTATTATGTATAAGTATAGTGCACTAATAAATAAAGATGTGCACTTAAAGATGGAAAAAAGAGAGAGAAAATGGGCCTGGCATGGTTGTATACACCTGTAATCCCAGTGACTCAGAAGGTTGAGGCAGGAGGATCCCAAGTTCAAATCCAGCCTTAGAAAAATGATTATTAAAGTAAACGTAGAACATAGAAAATTCAAAGAAAAGGAAATGCAGATGATGTTTTAAATTTCACAGCAATTTTCAAATACAAAAGTAGAATGGTATGAAGAGTCCTCTATGTTATCAGCTTCAGGAACTTTCAAAAGATGGCTAGTCTGATTTCATCTGAGCAGTACCCTCTAAAATTTTTAAGCCCACTTTGTCAATTCTGAGTATTTGAAGTAGTTGAAGTTTTTGTAAATATTGAATTAGTGAATACTGAGTCATTGCTTCTAGAGCAATTATTGAATTAGGATTCAAATATAAGCCAAATCACAACATTTTCATCATAACTTTGTTGCCATTTAAGGTATTTTATTAAATATATAATTAATTCATTGACACTGAACCTATAGCCCATAGTACTGCTGTAACTCATGCCTGAAGAATACTAATCTAAATATTCTCCATTGGGCATAAAAAAAACATGCAAAAAAAGTGCAAAGCATTCCTAGGAACACTACATAGTAGTGTTGTGCATTTATAAACAGAGAAATCACCAACAAAAAGCACCTAATGAAAAATATGGCAGTGTATAGCATGCAGAATGATTACTTGTTTACAGATACGACGGCAGAAAGAGGAAGGCACCGAGTTGTTTTGTTTGATATCAGTTGGAAATATGCCTATCTTGTGACTCAGATGTTTCACAACTCTGAACATGCTTACAGGTGACCAAGAAAGCACCTCAACTTTTCGAAAGTTACATATAAATTTCAGCAAGAAGTCAAATTTACAAATACAGAATCTGTGACTCAGGATTGGCTGCTTTAATGTGTACTTCTGATAAGGATTGTTTTATTTTATTTTAGCAAAACCACAATACCATTGTAACACTTAGAACTGAGTTAAACAAAAAAGTATATTCAGCTTAATTTTTTAAAAAGTAAAAGTACAAATGGAAACTGCAGGGAAGCTGGGTGTGGTGATGCACACCTGTAATCCCAGCAACCCAAGAGTAAAGCAGGTAGATCACAAATTTAAGCCCAGCCTCAGCAACCAAGCAAGGCCCTAAGCAACTTAGTGAAAACTGTCTCAAAATAAAAAATAAAAAGACTAGGGTTGTGGATCAGTGATTAAGTGCTACTGGGTTCAATCTCTAGTGCCAAAGAAAAGAAGAAAAAAGAAACTGCAAGGAATTCCTGGRTTTGTTTGTTTGTTTTATTTTATTGTTTTTTTACCTATGAGACTGAAAAATCAAAAAGTTTGATGATATCATATAGATGTAGAATAATATTATACTGCCATTTTTAAATAGCTTTACAGAACAAAAAGGAAGATAGTTTTAACATTGGTGTGTTGTATGCAGAATATATCTGAAAGCGTAGATCACAAATAAGAAAAAAAGGGCTGGGGGTGTAACTCAGTAGTAGAGCACTTGCCTAGCATGTGTGAGGCACTGGGTTGAAATCTCAACATATAAATAAATAAATACAGGCCCATTGACAACTAAAAAAAAGAAATGAGAAAAAAGATTACCCTCCTGGATTGCCCTATTAGGATGTTGCATCCTAAAGGCTGGGATGGAAGGCAGACTTCTTTTTCTATTCACCCTTTGGTATGCTTTGAATTTCAATTTGGTATGCACATATATCACCTTTATTTTTTTTCCAACCTCAAATGTAGTATGATTCTTTTCTCAAATATTTGACTCATTCTGAAAAATTTTAAATACCTTTTAATACCCTTTAAATTGTTATATATGTAAAATCCAAGCTATAACAAATGGCAGGGCTTTGCTTCCTCACAAGATTACAAATATGTTGTTTACAGGTAAATCTTTTTTAATTATTCACTAACTCTCTGCATTTGAAACAAGGTTCTCTCTCAAGCTACTTTTACAACCATGCTAGTGTATTTAAATCCTGCTTTCCATTAATTAAAAGGTAAATATGTATAACTATTGGATATTGCTAAGAAATTTCTTCCACGATACTGATAAAGATTGTTTTACTGCTGGGCACAGTGGCACACAACTAAAATCCCAGGGACTTGGGAGACAGGAGGATTGCAAGTTCGAGGCCAGCCTCAGCAATTTAGCAAGGCCCTCTGCAACTTAGGGAGACCCTGTCTTAAAATAAAAAATTTTAAAAAGGTATGCAGGGGGATGGAGTTGTGGTTCAGTGGTAGAGCGCTTGCCCAGCATGCGTGAGGCACTGGGTTCAATCCCTGGTGCCACATAAAAATAAACAAATAAAATAAAGGTATTGTGTCCATCTATAACTAAAAAAATATTTTAAAGGGGGTGGGGGAGCATGTGGATGTAGTTCATCAGTAAAATCCCCTGGGTTAAATCCTCAATACCGAAAATAAAATTAAAAAAAAAAAAAGATTGTTGTACTGATTGCAATTTATTGAAATTAATTATGCTCAGTCTCACAATTAATTAGTGGATCATTTTTATATTGCCAATCATAATAAAAAGTTGTAATACCAAAGTTTTATTTTAATGTTCTTTTCTTTTTAGATGGAAATTCCTTCTTCAAGCATTATCAATCAGTACATTGCTTGTCAAGGGCCATTACCACACACTTGTGCAGATTTTTGGCAAATGACTTGGGAACAAGGCTCCTCCATGGTTGTAATGTTGACCACACAAGTTGAACGTGGCAGAGTAAGTTATAGTTTAATCTTGCACATTGCGTGGGCTTGTTTCAAATTACACTGAATAATAAAAATATTTTCATTGAGTTAATCTTTTGTAACCTTTAATCTTTTTATGATTTCATGATTTCAATCATTACGATTATGTGCTTAAAATTACGATTGACACATACTACTGTGACATAAGTGTTAGCTATTATTATTACCATTGTTATTATTTAAAAGGATTAATGTTTATGTAAGGAGCTTGTATATAAATATATAAAGAACTCTTATAACTTTACAATAAAATGACAATCTAGTTTTTTAAATGGGCAAAGCATCTGAATAGACAGTTACCCAAAGAAAATATTCCAGTGGCTAGTAAGCACATAAAAAAATACTTGATCACAGAGCTGGGGATATAGCACAATTGGTGGAGTGTTTGCCTCACATGCACATGCACAGGCCCTGAATTAAATCCCCAGCACCACAAAAAAAAAAAAAAAAAAAAAAACCTTGACCACATTAGTCATCAGGGAAGTGCAAATCAATAATAATGAGACCCCACTTCATAATTAGTACAAGAGTGAAATTAAAAAGACAGGTAACAATAAGTGTTGCTAATGATATAGAGAAAACAGAGTTTTCATATACTGCCTGTGGATTTGTAAAATGGTACAGTCACCTTCGAAAAGTCTGGTACTTCCTCAGAAAGTTAAACGTGGCTTTACTACAACTCATCAACTTCATTCCTAGATGTACCAAAAGAATTGAAAACATGAACATGCAAAAATTTTGTTCACAAGCATTTGTAACAGTATTACTCAAAATAGCCAAAACATAGAAAGACTCACATGTGCCAAGAAACAGTAATATATTCGTATTGTTGGATACTTGGCAATAAAAAAATGAAGTACTTATATATACTTGCTACAACATGGATGAACCTAGAAAACATTTTGCCAAATGAAAGAAGAGTTTTCCTCTTCTTTTTTTCTTCTTTTTTTTTCCTTTTTGGCCACATATTATATGATTATTTTTATATGGAATAGAATAGGGACAGAAAGTAGATTATTCATTGTCTAAATTCAGGTTGGGGAAAGGAAAATAGGATCAGGTAGGATGCACAGTGACTACCAACAAGTATAAGGATAGTTTTGGGTGTCATGAAGATGTTCTAAAAGTGAATGTGTTCATGGTTACACACGTGTGGATATACTGAAACCAGCCATGGTAGCATATGCCTATAAGCTCAGCAATTCTAGAGCCTAAGCAAAGAAGATCCCAGTTAGAGTCCAGGCTCAGCTATTTACCAAGATCCTGTCTCAAAATAAAAAGAGCTGAGGATGTAGCTCAGTGGTAAAGTGTCCCTCAGTTCAATCCCCAGTAACCTCTCAAAAAATAAAGTATACTTTTAATGGGTAAGCTATATGGTCATTAAAGCTAATTTTAAAATCTTAACACAGGGTCTGGAAGTATATAGCTCAAAGGCTCTGGATTTAATCCCCAGCACCAAAAAATGAAAATCTTTAAAAATTAATCAGATTATTTGGAGTCTCAAAATATGGCCAAATAGATTAATTATTGTTACAAAGGGTGAAAATGACATAATGTTAATAGTTGATAGTTTTTTGTTTTTGTTTTTTGGTACCAGGGATTAAATTGAGGGGCTCTTGACTGAACCACATTCCTACCCCTATTTTGTATTTTATTTAGAGACAGGTCTCATTGTGTTGCTTAGTGCCTCACTTTTGCTGAGGCTGGCTTTGAACTCATGATCCTCCTGCCTCAGCCTCCTGAACCACTGGGATTACAGGCATATGCCACCATGCCCTGCTAATAGTTGGTGGATCTTGAAAAAGAGTTAGTTAAATTATTATGAGAGTTCATTAAATTATTCTTGCACCCTTTTCTTAAGTCAGAAAGTTTTTTGGGTTGTTTTTTTTTTTTTTTTTTTTGGTATGGGGGATTGAATCCAGGGGCACTTAACCACTGAGCTACATCCCCAGCCCTTTTTATTTTATTTTTTTTATTTTTAAAGAGAGAGATAGAATTTTTTTTAATATTTATTTTTTTTTTTTAGTTTTTTGGCGGACACAACATCTTTGTATGTGGTGCTGAGGATCGAACCCGGGCCGCACGCATACCAGGCGAGCACACTACCACTGGAGCCACATTCCCGAGCCCCCTAGCCCTTTTTATATTTTATTTAGAGTCAAGGTCACCCTGAGTTGCTTAGGTCCTTGCTAAGATGCTGAGGCTGGCTTTGAATTCATGATCCTCTTGCCTCAGCCTCCCAAGCCACTGGGATTACAGGCGTGTGCCAACACACCAGGCTGAAAGTTCTTTTTTTAAATATATTTTTTAGTTGTAGCTGGACACAATTCCTTTATTTATTTTTATGTGGTGCTGAGGATCGAACCCAGTACCTCATGTGTGCTAGGCAAGTGCTCTGCCACTGAGCTACAGACCTGGCCCCCTGAAAGTTCTTAAAAATTAAAATATTCTAAAAATTTGGAGAAACTGGGTTGAGGATGTGGCTTTGTGGTAGATTGCTTGCCTATCATGCACAAGGCCCTGTATTCAATCTCCAGAACCACAGAAAAAAAAAAAAAAGAACTCAAGTTGATATATATATATGTATGTGTGGGTGTGATTTTCTTTGTTTATTTTGTGTGTGTGTGTGTGTGTGTGTGTATAATTTCTTTGTTTATATAATTCTGTTGATACCAGGTTAAATGTCATCAGTATTGGCCAGAACCCACAGGAAGTTCATCCTATGGATGCTATCAAGTTACCTGCCATTCAGAAGAAGGAAATGCTGCTTATATCTTCAGGAATATGACATTGTTCAACCAAGAGGTAAGAAGGCAGGGTGTCCATTTGCTAGAACTGTGTTTAAAGTAAAGACTTTGAAAGCTGAAATGTGTTTTAGCCAGAAAAACATCACAAAAATCACTAACCTGTTTTGATGGGACACTCTGGAATTTTATAGAGTATATTTTCCTATACTATAATAAATGCATTTTCAATTTCTACTGCCAAAAATTAGTTGTCAGTATAAAAGCAGTCTGGTAAATATTATTTATTACTATTTACTACTTTGCCTTAGTTTGTTTGATTACTAAAAAATTCTCTCTGGGAGTAATATAGTAAAATATTTGTGTATTTGTTAATATGAAAAAGTAATTGAAAACTGTCAAATTGTTTCTTTTTTCAAAAGAATAGAGGCGAACACAATCCCCTCAATATTAAGGAAGAAAAATTCATAGGCAAGACCTTCCTATAGGTTAGAGCTTTCTACCTGCTAGTTCTTCTTAGTTCTAACTGGGTTACGCACATTGGCTACCAAAGCCAGAAATGGGGATTGATTAGTAAATGATGGCTCAGTACTCCAATTAGAAGATGTGTGTAGAGGGCATGATGAGGCTGTTAGAGACAGTATCCCATATTCACTGCCGGCAGCTAGGTATTCTGGTGCCGGCCACCTGTGGTTTTGGAGGGAGCCAAAAGAAGTAACTGCTAGAGAAAAGCAGACAGTATAAGCCATAAAGGCCTATGCCTCTCCCATAAATGGTTAAACCTTTGGAAATGGAAACTACAACCCTTCTCCAAAATTATGATTAAGAGAGACCAGAAACAAGAACCTTTCTTGCCAAAAGGGAAGGAACCAGCAGTTGTGTTACTTATAGAAAAGGAATCTGGTGGGTTGGGATGTAGCTCAGTGATTGAGCACTTACCTCGAATGTTTGAGGCCCGAGGTTCAACTCCTAGTACCACAAAAGAAAAAAGTCTTACTGGGCACAGTGGTGCATATCTGTAATCCCAGTGACTCAGGAGGCTAAGATAAAAGGATCACAGGTTTGAGACCAGCCTCAGCAATTTAGGAGGCCCTCAGCAACCTAGCAAGACCCAATCTCAAATTTTTTAAAAAGGAGAATGGGGCAGGAATGTAGCTCAGTGGTAAAGTGCCCCTGGGTTCAATCCCCAGTACCAAAAGAAAAGAAAAGAAAAGCCTTCAGCTACTGAATGAAGGTAAAGTCTGAAAATAAAAAGTTAAATTTTATTCAGATCAGAATGAATTTAAGGGGCTTGGGGGGATATACTCATGGTCTAATATATTCTCCCTAATTGATAATGAAAGATAGTCTGTATGTTTATATAAAATAATATCTGGGGCTGGGGCTCAGTTTGTGGTTCAGTGGTAGAGCACTTGCCTCTCACATGTGTGAGACACTGGGTTTGATCCTCAGCATTGTATATAAATAAATGAATAAGATAAAGGTCTATCAACAACTAAAAAAATATTTTAAAAAATAATATCTGTCTTCAGTGTAGACTCTTTACTTGGTGCAGTAGTGTATGCCTGTAATCCCAGATATAGGCAGGAGGATTGCAAATTCAAGGCCAATCTGGGCAACTTAATGAAACTCTGTCTCAAAATAATACTTTTTAAAAATGACTGTGGGCTTATCTCAGTGGTAGATCACTTTCCTAGCATGCTTGAGGCCCTGGGTTCAATCCCCAATACTGCAAAAAGTAAAAAACAGTCTTTTTATTATACTCTACCTGTAGATTAGCACCTGAATAGTAGTTTATTGAATAGTGGCTTTTCTTTATATACCCTGACTACCTTAGAAACTATGCTAAGTCATGTTTCTAAAGTTTGAACCACATATAATTGGGAAAATAAATTTGCATGTGTATGTAAATGCATTCATACGTTGATGGACACTGGTCAGACAGACAACACTACCTAGTCTTATATATCTTTTGCTTTCTTAACACTAAGCTACATCTCCAACCCTTTTTCTTGATTTTGATACAGGGTCACCCCAAGTTGCCTATGGTCTTGTTAATGGTTGGCTTGCTATGGCTGGCTTTGAACTTGTCTCAGCCTTCCAAGTCACTGGGATTACACTCATGCACCACCATGCCATCCATTACTTTTCATAGTATTTTTCTGGAAACCTCTCCGCATGCACACACTTTTTTTTTTTTTTGGTATCAGAAGATTGAACTCAGGGGCTCTTAACCACAGACTCACATCCCCAGTCTTTTTATTCTTTTTATTTTGAAACAAGGTCTTGTTGAATTGCTTAGGGCTTCACAAGTTGCTGAGGCTGGCTTTGAATTTACAATCCTTCTGCCTCAGCCTCCTGAGTTGCTGGGATTACAGGTGTGCACCACTGGCAATTGTGCTCCCTTTAATATAAATGGCAATAACCAGTTTTCATAATGTTGAACGACTAGCTACCTGTTAATTGTGTATGTGATGTCAAGTAACGGGGTGATTTACAGATCATTTTATGGAGTCTTTTCAACATTAAGATTATCCCTTAAATGTATAGATGTTATTTCATTTTTCAAGTGAAGGAAGAAGTGAGGCTCTGAAATATTAAATTCCACCCTGACATAGTCACGACTTGTACCAAGATGTATCTAAGAGTCTTACTCTCTCTATTAGCTCCCCAAAAGGAATAATCACTGGTTTGATCTAGGGATTAATTAATGTCTCGTGATTTTATGATCTCCAGTTTTTAATCTACATTTATTTTTTTTTTAATTTTATCTGAGTTGTGTCAGGATTAGCTCAGCTTTGTGCCCCGTCCAAAAAATATATTTATTTTTTACTTTACCATTTTTGCTCAATTAACAGATCTTTAGTTAAATCTTTTTTTATTGGTTGTTCAAAACATTACAATGCTCTTGACATATCATATTTCATACATTTGATTCAAGTGGGTTATGAACTCCCATTTTTACCATGTATACAGATTGCAGATTCACATTGGTTACACATCCACGTTTATACATACTGCCATACTAGTGTCTGTTGTTAAATCTTTAAGCATTCCTCTGGATATTAATTTGTTTTTGCAAGTTTGCTTGATTATCATCATTTTAAAACTATAAATACAGATATTGAGTTATAAAAAGGCATCCATGTAAGTAGCGGATAAGATAGATATACCTGTTTCCATAAAATAGTTTCTCTCTTATTTGTTGCAATTTAGGATATTAGTCGGTTTATGCATTACTTCTTTGTGGGGAGGAAAAGGAGTTGGTTTTGCTCTCCTTCTAAAATTAAAATGACATGAATATTTATATTTTAAAGATAATTCCTAAGTCAAGGTAAATAATTTTTCTTTTATACTTAGAAAAATGAGAGTCGTCAACTCATTCAGATCCAGTACATAGCCTGGCCTGACCATGGAGTCCCTGATGATTCAAGTGACTTTCTGGATTTTGTTTGTCATGTACGAAATAAGAGGGCTGGCAAAGAAGAACCTATTGTTGTTCATTGCAGGTATTCTATTTCCTGTCTTTTATGAATGAATAACTGACTTGATATATTATTTTTATTATAAGGGAATAGGTATTTTATTGCACCCTTATGTTGTGATTGCCACAGTGACTAAGTACTCATAGCTGTGCTCTGATGTAGAAAACAAAGGATATGTTCTAATGTTAATATTTGGCAGAAACTTTATGATAAGAGATAAAAATAATAATTATTGCACGGATTCTTAAAAGCTTTTGTATTTTAGCATTGCTGAAATTGTAATTTAGATCTGATGATATACAATATTGTAGAAATATTATAGATTGTCTTAGTTTATTTGTGCTGCTCTAAAAAAAATACTAAAGGGCTGGGGTTGTGACTCAGTGGTAGAACACTTGCCTAGCACATTTGAGTCGCTGGGTTCAATCCTCAGCACCACATATAAATCAGTAAAATAAAGGTTCATTAACCACTAAAAAAATATTTAAAGAAAAAGAAAATACCTAAGACTAAGTAAGTTATAAATAACAGAAATTTAGTTGGGTGTGTGGAGGCACATGCCTATAATCTCAGCAACATAATGAGTCCCTAAGTAACTTAGTGAGACCCTGTCTTTAAATAAAAAGGGCTGGGGATGTGGCTCAGTGATTAAGTACCCCTGAATTCAATCCCTATAAAACCCCCGCCACCCCCCAAAAAATACAGAAATTTATTTCTTAGAGTTCTAGAGGCTGGAAAATCCAAGATGAAGGATCTGATACTGCAAATTCAGTATCAGATGAGGGCTATTCTCTGCTTCCAAGATGGTCCCTTATTTCTGCATTCTCCAGAGAGAGCAAATGCTGTGTCCTTATGGCAGAAGGGATAGAAGATATAGAAATGTGAACTCACTCCCCCAAGCTGTTTTATAAGACCCCTGATGCCATCTGTGAGGGTTGTACTTTCATGAGTTAATCGCTTCTTAAATGCCCTGCCTCTTAATACTATCACATTGGTGATTGAGTTTCAGCATGGGGCTGGGGATATAGCTCAGTTAGTAGAGTGCTTGCCTCACATGCAGAAGGCCCTGGGTTCAATCCCCAGCAAAACACACACACATACACACACACACAATTTCAACATGAATTTTGAGGCACACATTTTGAGGCATACGTTCAGATCATTACCTATACATTAGGATGCAGTCTGCAGTTTAGATTTTCTCCTTCCCAGCGAGGTATTCTTGTCTTTCCTGTGACCTCTCTTAGGATACTCATTGAGTGCTCCCACTCATTCTCTTGGAATGAGCCTACCAAATGGATTTATAGGATATGCCATTCCCAGTATTTCTAGGTGAACAGTGGCAGGCTACCTTTCCTTCCTTTCACCCCAGGTCTCCTTCAGTCCTCAAAGAGCCAAACACTGTGACTCCAACCTTCACTTCCACTGACCCAGAGATTGGGATACAGAAATTATTTTCTTCCTTTCATAACCATGTTTTAAAGTGCTTTATTTGGAGGATAGTTTGAGATAATTCACCTTTTCAGCACATTGTAAGAGCAAACTTTCGGATCATTAAAACAGATCATAGAACAAATATTTGAGAGGCAAAGTGACAAGAATGATGAAACACATGGCCATCCCATATCCTAAGACTCTAGTAGCTACCACATTCTTGTTTACAGATCATACTTCCAAGAGTTCTTAACTATCCAGAGGTAACTTAATTTTTTTAGAAAACCCTAATTTGTCTAAGGTATAAAATAGTGCTGTCTTCTACACATTTGTTAATGATTATTATAATTCTCTTGTTATGTTTTTTAAGGGAAGTTGCTCCAATAAGCTTATACCTTGTTTAGAAGTTAACTTACTACTTCTCTAATATAAAACCTTAAAATGAAATTATTCTTCAATATTATTATTCAGTATTTTGATTTTTCTGCACTAAAATCACAAGAATTTTAGTAGAATATTATCAGTAAGACCTTGCCCATATTTATCTTTTTTAGTGCTGGAATTGGAAGAACTGGGGTTCTTATTACTATGGAAACAGCCATGTGTCTCATTGAATGCAATCAGCCAGTTTATCCACTAGATATTGTAAGAACAATGAGAGATCAACGAGCCATGATGATCCAAACACCTGTAAGTACTGTATTTCATGTGCACATGTGAATCTTCAATGATGGTTTTTGTTATCAGTGTATATTTTAAGTTTTATTCTGAGTCATATTTTTATCTTTTTAATTCCTTATCAGCAGCTAATAACCTTTTGCCTGTGAATCACATCTGACTTCCCCCGCTTTTTTTTTTTTTTTTGAATCTTTAATGGAACCCAGCCATGTTCAATTGTTAATGATTGTCTTTGGCTGGTTTTATACCACTTCAACATTGAGCATAGTTGACAAGTTGCAACAGATACCATATGGTCTAATCTTGTTTTTATTTATTCATTTACTTTTTGGCAGAAGGTACCAGGGACACTTTACCACTGAACTATATCCTCAGCCATTTCTATTTTTATTTTGTTTCAGGGGCTCAACAAGTCACTGAGTTTGCCCCAAAAATTTGATCCTCCTGATTCACTGATTCATCCTCCTGAGTCACTAGAATTAACAGGCATGTGCCACCATGCCTAGCTATGGCCTGCAATTTCTAAAATATTTAACATCTGGCCTTTTACAGAGACAGTTTTTGCCAACATGCAAGTGGCCTAGCATATTATTTCTTAAGTATTACAACAGATGCAGAGGAATGTGTCTTATATTGCTTAGTCGAGTAGAATGCTCACAATGATAGTACAACTGAACTGGAGAATCCTGGTAGGCCTGCTTTCAGTGAAACAGCTGTGGTGGAATGCCTTTCTTTATCACATAAGAACTTAAATTCCTCCAACAAAAATATTCTATAAATCAAGCTACTTATCATTCTCCACTTCTCCACTGACTTTTTTTTTTTTTTTTTTTGTACTGAGGATTGAACCCAGGGGTGCTTTGCCCCTGCTTCACATTTAGAGCACATAGGTCAAGTAATCTTATTGACACTAGTAATGCTAAAATAATCTTAGCCTGGTGTGGTGGTACATGCCTGTAATCCCAGCAGCTCAGGAGGCAGAGGCCCGAAGACCTCAAGTTCAATGCCAGTCTCAGCAATTTAGTGAGATCCTATCTCAAAATAAAAAATTAAAAAGGCTGGGGATGTAGTGGTAGAGTACCTGTGTTCGGTCTCTGGTACCAAAATCATCATAATCTTAATACTATAAAATTTCATGTTTCTTGGAGCATACTTAAGAGTCATTGGAGTCAGATGTGGTGGCACTCCCCTGTAATTCCTGCAACTGAGGATTATACTCTAAACAGATGGACCCATGTGACCTAAAAGCCTGTTTTTTGTTTTGCTTTTACATTTGTTATACAAAATTTCTAACATACACAGAAGTAGACAATATAATGTAATAAATACCTTTTCGGTAGTCAGATACTACTAACTAATACCATGCTTTTTTAAAAAATATTTTTTGTTGTAGATGGACATTATATTTTATTTATTTTTATGTGGTGCTGAGGATTGAACTCGGTCCCTCACACATGTTAGGCAAGCATTCTACCACTGAGCTACAGCCCCAGTCCAGCTGTCTTTTTTTTTTTTTTTAATTTTTATTGTTGGTTGTTCAAAACCTTATATAGTTCTTTTTTTTTTTTTTTTTTTTTTGAGAGAGTGAGAGAGGAGAGAGAGAGAGAGAATTTTTTAATATTTATTTTTTTTTTAGTTCTCGGCGGACACAACATCTTTGTTGGTATGTGGTGCTGAGGACCGAACCCGGGCCGCACGCATGCCAGGCGAGCGCGCTACCGCTTGAGCCACATCCCCAGCCCTAGTTCTTGATATATCATATTTCACACTTTGATTCAAGTGGGTTATGAACTCCCATTTTTACCCCGTATACAGATTGCAGAATCACATCGGTTACACATCCATTGATTTACATATTGCCATACTAGTGTCTGTTGTATTCTGCTRCCTTTCCTATCCTCTACTATCCCCCCTCCCCTCCCCTCCCCTCCCCTCTTCTCTCTCTACCCCCTCTACTGTAATTCATTTCTCCCCCTTGTATTTTTTTTCCCTTTCCCCTCACTTCCTCTTATATGTAATTTTGTATACCCCTGAGGGTCTCCTTCCATTTCCATGCAATTTCCCTTTTCTCTCCCTTTCCAGCTGTCTTAATTCATATAGCTTTGTTGCAGAATTTAAATTCAAGAAATAAGAATCTTCAACTTTTCTCTTTCTTTTTTATGATTTTTATAACTCCTCTGAATCTCTTATATTCAATTCTATATGAATTTTAGAATCAGTTTGTCCTTTTTACCTAAAAAAGCCAACTAGACAAACACAAGATTGTCCTATTTATTTATGTATTTCTTTCAATGATGTTTTGTAGTTTTCACTGTAAAAGTGTCATATTTTAGTGTTTGTGGAGCTACTGTGAGTAGGATTATTTACTTAATTTCATTTTAGAACTGTTTATTGCTAAGGTATAGAAATGCAATTGATTTTGTATATTGATCACATATCCTTCAACCTTGCTGGAATCATTTATTAACCAGTAATTTGGTGTGCATGAGAGTAAATTTTTTAGAATTAGAATGTCATTTTTCAAACCTGATGAATTAATAGATGCAGGCATTGATCACTTCGTGCTAATATCACAAAAAGAAAGACAGATGTGTTTTTGAATAAAGAATAAAACACCTAAGCTGCTAAAGTCTATGGATCCACTTAACACTTTTAGGAAATAGAACACCACCTTGATGTAAATCAGCAAAATCCATCAGTGGACATTTATGTTGGTTTTTCTACTTTTTGTCTATTGTGAGTAATGCTGCTATGAACATGGGTTATATCTCAAGACCCCACTTTTCATTCCTTTCAGGTATACACCAACAGGTAGAATTATAGGATCATAACATTCATGATGGGCTTTTTTTTTTAAATTTTTTAGTTGTTGAAGGACCTTTATTTAATTTATTTATTTGTGGTGCTGAGAGTCAAACCCAGTGCCTCACACATGCAAGCAAGTGTTCCACCACTGACTACAACCCCAGCCCCACTGAGCCACAACTCCAGCCCCTCATGATGGGCTTTTGTTTTTATAATTTGTTTAAAATCAGGAGTCAGATATGTCTACTCACATTGATTAGTTATGTTTCCTAAGTGCCTCTTAAGTGAAATCTTCCTCCCCTGATTATTTTTGCCATATAGTTCTCCACTATCTAGATTTTGTTGATTTACATCATCAAAGTGGTGTTCTATTTCCTAAAAGTGATAAGTGGATCCATAGACTTTAGCAGTGTGTTTTTTGTTTCTTCAGAAGCACATATCTGTCTGTCTGTCTGTCTTTTTGTGATATTAGTACCCTCAAGTAATCAATGCCTTCATCCATTAATTCATCAGGTTTGAAAAATTGTATTCTCATTCTATCTTTCTTCATTTATCAGCTGGAATAATTGTTTAAAGAGAAACTTCTTGGGCTAGGAATGTAGCTCAGTAGTAGAGTGCTTGCCTGGTTTGTGCAAGACCTCAAAAAAATAAATAAAGTGAAACTTCTCATCTTGGTCAGTGAGTGGAATAGTGTTTGTATGAAAGGCAATGTAAACGTGATTACCTGATTCTTACCCTTTATTTATTTATAAGTTTTCTCTTTTTCTCTTTCCTTGGTCGGGGATAAAACCCAGGACCTCAAGAAGTCCTGGTTCTTGCCCAGCCTGGCGTCACATGCCTGTTATCTCAATGACTTGGGAGGCTAAGGCAGAAAGATCACAAATTTGAAGCCAGCCTGGGACAGTTAGAGCCTATATCAAAATTGAAAAAAAAAGGCTAAGGGGGGAAAAAAAAAGTCCTGGTGCTTACTAGTGAGTGATGCTTTTAGGCACCACCCTCTAAGCACTAGAGAGTTCTATTGTTATTGGGTTTTGTTTGTCTCTAGAAATGCTCAGTTGACTGACTGAGCTAGGAAAGTATACTTACCATGAGTTTGCCCATCTAGGACCACAGTAATTTTACTTAACCTCTTTTATCTTACATCATATCTCCTCTTTTCTTTAACAAAAATACTAGTTTTCTACAAACTAGAAAAAGAAATTGAAAACACATATTCGCTTTGTGATTATTTACAATAATCACAATTTGTCTTTTGGACTTCCTGGAAGTGGGATTGATGGGTCAGAAGGTAAATTAATGTAATTTTATATATGCTTTCAAATTCTTCTTTTTAGGGGTTACAGCACTTTAACATCCCTATCAACAACATGTGAGTTTTGCCAACAAAATCTTCTATTTTCAGACTTTAGGTTTTGCCCATTTATTGATAAAAAAAAATGCTGTCAATATTTTTTCACTTTGAATTTCTTTTTTTTTTTAAGAAATGTCCTTCTTAAAAAATATGTTTTTAGTTGTTGATGGACCTTTATTTTATTCATTTATTTATCTGTGGTGCTGAGAATCGAACCCAGTGCCTCACACATGCTAGGCAAATGCTCTACCACTGAGCCACAACCCCAGCCCTGAATTCCTTTTATAAGCAAGCCAGGTGAGATGTTTATGTTTTGGTATGGTCTGTTTTGAGGGTTTTTTGATCAATTCTATTTTTTATGTTTTCTTTTTCAGAGTCAATACAGATTTGTATGTGAAGCTATTTTGAAGGTTTATGAAGAAGGCTTTATTAAACCCTTAACAACATCGTCAAATAAATAAGAAAAGATATGAAATACATGTTGGAAAACTGCTATTCGTTATATTTCATTATATTCACTGTGCCATGACACTGCTTGCAGGAAATGGCATCTCACAAAAAAATGAAGAACTAAAAAAAAAGAACTTTGAAAACTTCAGCACTGTTGCACTTTATGTTTTAAAAATAAGTCAACCCTTCAGAATCTATAACTCATGTGTTGGAAGACTATTTCATGCTTTGCTCCGAACAAATAGTGAATAACTGAGTATGTTCAGGGTAATTTATGAAAATTTGTGGTGGTGCCATGCAGTCCCCTTCTGGTAGAATTGCCACAAGCGAGGCTCAGAATCCTCATCATCTTTGTTGTACATCTGTATCTTGAAAGCAAAAAGAAGTAAATATCAGGAGTCAGCTCTGGCTTTTTTTTTTTCCAGTGGATCATGTACTTACTAAACTGATTACCAGATTTTATTTTTAAGATTTTAGCAATATCATTCTCAATATTAGCCAATACACTGCCTATGGATGCAGCACATCTTTCCCTACGCACCCCCTCTAGAGACCTGCTGTTCAGAAGAAGAAAGGTGGAATTTGCTATTCCCAGGAAATGCTGCACATTGTCCATTTACCAGCATCTTATAAAAAGTATAGATATGAATCTACAAATTTTCTTGAATTTAATAATGTAATTATATTTATCATAAGGTTGGCTTATTCCAAATCATGTGATTTCATATACTTGATGTAAAGGAATGCATGCATTGTGTCTTAACCCCTTAAGTGCCTTGAGACATCTTTATGTCTAATGAAAGGCACTCATTTGACCCCACTAGGAGGTATGTAAGTATATTGTACATTCTTACATTTTTATGCATTTTGAATAAGTTCACATTTTAAAAACAGGCTTCTTGTATTGAGAGTTATGCAGTCAAAAAAGGGTAAGAAAATTCTATTTCTTACTCAATACTTGTATTTTGCCATAAGAAGCAAAAATACTTCGTGTTCTACTGAGTGCACGCTCTGCTGCTACAGAATTGTTCAAAATATGCACATTCCTTTACTGCGGGACAGGGGTTACAGTTAAGCAGCTCAACTTAAAAAGATGCTTTATTATTCAAATTTCATATTTATTTTATCCCTGACTTTAGAAGTGGCATCTGATAAAATACTGGGACTCTAAGCTATAGAGCAATTAATTAATTTTGATTCATTCCTATCCATAACTAAAATATTTCTCCTTAGCATTCATTTTAGTTAATACGAAGCCTTTTTCGCACTGGTCTTTTGGTTGGGATTCTTCAAGTGAGAAATTAAATATTATTGAGTCTAAATATAACCCTTCCTTAACTAAAATGAGGGTTTTCTTGTCACTTTGTGTACAATTAAATTATTTCCGTTTATATATACTTATTAAATTATAAGCATGTTATATAAGGAGTCTTTTGATTATCCAATCTGATTGAGGATCTGATTCCCATTAAGGATATATCTGTTAACCTCTTCAGGTGTTTTGGATTTCAAGTCTACAGAGATAGAACTTTAATATTGCCCAATTTAAGTGAAAATTTGCCTGCCTATTTAAATATTATTTTACATAAATATTTTATATGGATATGGTTAAAGTAGATTCATTTACTAGTGGTTTCTGAATATTTATAGTTTTGATAAAGTTTAGAGTCTAATGGTTGGTATTTTGGAATGCCATTTAGTATGAAGGGGAAAATGTACATTTGAAAATCTTTAGTAAAATCTAAATGATGTCATTTCACATTCAAAAATCTATCATAATACATTTCAGAAAGTTAAGCTCCTAAACATTAATAGCCAAGATACCAAATAAATTATACTAAAATACTTCTAAGTCTTTTTTTAAAGAGAGAAGTAAACATAATCTTTATGTTCTTATCTATTTCCTGATTTCAGTCAAGACAGTATAAAATAGTAAATGAACTATTGACTTATTTGAACATTCCATTCTGTACCAACAGATAAATGTAAATAAGGCTGCTGTATGATATGACAAGTTGAAAAATGAAAAAGGAAAGACACGTTGGGGATCTACATATGAAATAACTGTTTTTGCACTTATTTTTTGTGTGTATTAAAAAAGTCTCTGCTAACTGGACAGAAAATGACCGTCACAGTCAAAAAGATAACAGTTGTGTAGACATAAACAGACAAATGTCTTGCTTGGCATGTTCTTTAACTATGGCTTTGTTTACATTTCCCAGGTTAACTAATTGTTGGCAATGAGCACTGCTGCCTTTTTCAATCATTAATGCCTGTCTTGAAATGCCAATGTGTTAGAGGTGTAGAATTACATTTAAATTTATCATGTATGCATTTTTCATCTGGGAGCTACGCTTTGTCAGTGTTTGTATGTACAAAAGGATCCTTTGTAAAAATATATTAGGATATTACTTAAATTATCCTTCACAGCTTCTAAAATGACTACTCTAATTAAGCTTCCCTGTTTACCTAACAGCAAAGTCTTTATCCATTACACATAAGAATTTTTTAACCTGTTTTAATCTAAATAAGTTTCTAGAAATAATGGTGGCTTTTGTACACCAAGTTGAGTAGTTCTAGACTCCATCCATATCAATGTAATGTTGTGTGGTAAATTTCACGTTTCTTGTGTCTAAGCTGCTCTCCCAGTCCTGGTCACCCCTGCCTCCATACCATTATACACTCAAGAAAGAATGCTGACTTTTATTCTGACAAGTGGAAATCGGTATTGGTGATTCAAGGAGCTTTTATAAATGCAAGTATTTGTAGAGAACTTCCCTCTCCGATTTCAAATGTTTTTTCTGTGTTCATTTCAAGTTGTTTTTATTTGTATCTTATTAGCATCTGATTTTTGTCGGCATGGTATAGACAGGCTGAAGAATATTTTGGAATAATCTTTGCATTCACAAGAAGAATTGGTTGGATTTGTCAAACTGATACAACCATCCAGAATTGAGGCAGAGTAAACATCTCAGAAAAATTTCCGTTGTCTGGCCTATTAGGTCAAATAGAAGGAAGACAAATGATTGATCATTTTGATTTAAGAATAAAGAGAACATTTATTATATGAAAACTGACTTCAAATGCACAAAGTTACATTAAGGCATTAAGATGATTGCTTGAAAGTTTCAGGTACAAATATATGTGTGTGTGTGTGTGTGTGTGTGTATATATATATATATATATATATATATACACGTACATACATACATAGAGATACTTTAGTGCATTTGTTTACACATTTCGTTAAAGTTACTGCCCACAAACAGGAAGAACAGACTGTTTAAAGTACAAGGTTGTTGAGCATCAGTTAGCAGGTCTGATCAGGTCTAATCAGGAATTTGAGAAAAAATCTTGTCTCCTGTCTCAAGTACAACTTGAGAGCAGAAAGGAAATGGAAAGATTTTTTTCCCCCAATCTCCACTTCCCTTATTATAGCAAGGAAACAGAGACCCAGCAACAGTAATTGATTTAGCAAAGTCTCATTTTGTACAATCTAAGTTTCCTAATTCTCAATATGGTGTTCTCTATGTTATACTAGAACTTCAGTAATTGTAACCTATGTGAATATCATAAATTCTTGTGAATTTTAGTCTGTTTCAACTTGAGAAGCATACTCAGTGTTTTTGCTTCATAACTATGACAACCTTAGGAGATATCGCTTAAGTTAGAAAATAAGTAGGCTGCAGTAGTGATCCTAATTAGGACCCTGACTCACTCATGCTTCCCTGTCAGAGAACATAAGCTTTTGTGAAGTATTGAGGCTGATACAAATGCAATATAAAAGCATTCTGGACTGCAAGTAGAAGACTAATTTTTAAAAACACTTAAGACACAGAACTAAGATTTAAATGTATGTCCATTTATAGTGAAATAATTTATGTTCATAATGTGAACATGTAATAGAATAAAAGCATTATTTGTCTTATAATCTGATCATGAATGGAGAAGGGAATACGAATTTATAACAATGTGCTATTTAATATTTGTATTTTGAAAATATTTAAAATATTCTATTGGTAAGGTTGCCAAAGTAGTTTTGAATTCATAAAAGTTATAATAATGTGGGATATGTTTACAGGTTCTTTGATTTGGTAGTAATTTTCATAGTTCAGATTAATTTGCATTTAAAGTCATTTGTAGTAAGTACATTATGGTAAATGTTTGTTTGAATAAACATCTTGATATGACAAGATGTATATGAGTGATACCATAGCCTGCTTTTATATAAGCTGCCACATAAACAAACTGAGTACTTCATATGAAGATTGTTTCCCACATTTGCTTCAGTTGTACAACCACAGTTTCTGGAACTGTTTGTTGTGGTGCTTCTTCCGAATGAAATAGCTGTTTTTACAATCCACTAGGTTAATTTAATCAAATATTGGATTTACCGATCTGTTGGCAAAGATTTATTAGTGTCTCAGTGTGGTCACAATACAAATTGTAGCAACTATTTTATAAGTCTTAAACATATAGATAAAAGGAATTTTCTTAATCCTAAAGCATTTTGAGGGCTGCTTGCTGATCCATATTTCATCAATTTGAAGAGCCCAAGAAATGAATTCCTAAATTGTATGTTTGGGGTTCAGTTTTCTTTACAATGCCTACAACAGTTATCAACATTATTATATGCAGTCTTCAACTATTTTTTAGTAGCAATTATTATTATAAGCCTTTTGATGTTGTTAGAAATAGCAATCCCTATTTCTGCCCAAAATTAGACACTTTTATTTCACAATATTGGTGAATTTGTTTTGGGTAGACAACAAAATACTACTTGTTTCTATATATAAATTTGCTGCTATTTATTTTTATGTTTTTCTACTTTAGTATATTGTTGATTTCTGAAATTTAAGTTAAAATTGTTTTTATTTTAGTCATCCAAGCTAAGTGGTCAGCCATAGTACTATCTGCTTGGGTGTAATCTGTCTGCATTAGTTAGACATAGTTCAGTGCATAAATAAACAAATTTTTCTTTTAATTTGCAAAGTGAAAGTTACGAGCAATCTTGCAAGTTAAAGCTACAATTTTAGGGAAGAGTTCAAACATTTAACTTTTTTTTTTTAACCTTTTAAAATTTCCAGTACAAGAATGGAAATGTTTGAAAGCCTTCTTTAGCTCACAAAAGTTAAACACTGTAACAGAGTTTTCCTATCTGTTGTTGTGTAAATGATATAGAAAATATTTTTCTATGAAAAAAAGTTGAAAATGTTAACTTCTTTAATTGTTAAAAAGGGATAAAATGATATTTGTATGTCTTTCATGCTGTAAAGAAAATGAATGTATCTTTCAAATGTTATTAGAATTATGACTTGATTCTAAGGATACTCTTATTTTTTAACAAAAAAAGAAAGCCTGCAAAAGGATTGGAAAGAAGAAAGGGAGGAGTATTACACATTATAAAAAATGCAATTTTAGATGAAAAGTAATTTTCATTATAAAAGAGCAATTGTTGAAACATATTACAAACATGATGTGCATTCTTTTTCATATTGCTTTGTTTTAGCTCTAGAAATTTCCAGAAAATTCACACATACGCCTTTTAAGTGTAAAATATTCTAATTCTAGGCTTCTGGGGTGAATTTTTGTGTGAGGTTAAAAATTCTGGATGAATTTTTGTGTGAGGTTAAACATGCTGCTGCGTGTGTCTGCCACGGAGAAAAGTTCCCAAGCTTTGTCACTGGGACACCATAAGTGAGGACATCATTGTAAGAATGTGATTTAGTTAAAGCCTGAAAACCTTGCCTGAAATCCACTACAGTTAATTATGTGTAAAGGTCCCTGACCCAGTAAGTGGTTCTGCCTTTTTATTGTCAAAGTCACAGACCATCGGGTCCAACTCTGACTTGAAGCAGTGGTGTCTTATATGTTAACGATTATTAATGCTGATGAACAACAACAAAAAAAAAAAAAAAAAAACTTTATTTTAAGCCAACTACTACAGGCATGATTTGTTCAGCAGCAGCTTTAAAAAGTAGTATTTACTGTCACTCATTAAACTTGATTCAGTTGGGGTTGGAAGCAGTGATGCAGGCCTGTAATCCCAGCACTCAGGAGGCTGAGGCAGGAGCATTCATATTCAAGACCAGCCAAGGCAATTTAGTGAAACCTGTCTCAAAATAAAAAACGACTAAGGATGTCACTCTGGTAGAGCACCCCTGTGTTCAGTCCCCAGTACTGGCAGGAGAAGGACTTGATTCAGTTAGAGTTTCATTCTCTTAGCTTCCTGCTTTTTGTCCTCCGCATTAAAAAAAAAAAAAAAAAAAAAAAATCACTCACCTTCCAGGCACACTGGTGCACGCCTATAATCCCAGTGACTTGGAAGGCCAAGGCAGGAGATTTGAAAGTTCAAAGCCAGCCAAAGTACTTGGAGAAGCCCATAGCAACTTAGACCCTGTCTCAAAAATAAAAGGAGCTGGGGATGTGGCTCAGTAGTTAAGTGCACCTGGGTTCAAGCCCCAGTACTCCCGCCCCCACTCCAAAAATCACTATGAAATAAATACTCTGAACAACTAAAAGGTGTTACCTTTATTACCTTTTGCAACAGTTATAAGAAATTAGTGGGCTGGGGATGTGGCTCAAGCGGTAGCGCGCTTGCCTGGCATGCGTGTGGCCCGGGTTCGATCCTCAGCACCACATACCAACAARRATGTTGTGTCCGCMGAGAACTARAAAATAAATATTGAAAATTCTCTCTCTCTCTCTCTCTCTCTCTCTCTCTCTCTCTCTCTCTCTCTCTCTCTCCTCTCTCTTAAAAAAAAAAAAAAAGAAATTAGTATTAGACTCCCTCAACCCTGAGAGGTTCCAAGATTCAACACTGTCACTTGTGCTAACCTTAAATGCAGTGTTGCTTAATAAAATTATCAGGAAGCGATTGAGGAAAAGATTGCCCTGCTCAACCCTTAAAACAAATAGTTTCTGATTTATGGTGTCCCCCAAACCATTATAGTCAAAATTGAGCCCATTTTACCTTTTAATAAAATAAGGCTTTCTAGTTTCTACTCTTGAATTTTAGTGTTCCAATTATTTGCATTCCTGGGCAAGAAAATTTCAACCTCATTCTGTGATTCTCTGGCACCTGTCTTTTCCAATCCTTCGATGAGTTGACAAGATTATTCATTCTTGTTTTCTGTAGAATATGTCACATTTCAATTATCAAATTGATTTCTTGAATTTCAAATAGCACTTTATTTCATGCTTACTACTGACTTAATTTATACATCTAAAGATATAATCTACGAGTTTTGTAAATACAGGGAAAAAATGATTAGTATTAGAGCTCTTTAGATTGGACCCAAGTTTAAATGCTTTACAATGATCTCTTAATAGCTTATTTGATATTTAAGAGGTAATTTGTGTGATTTTAGGTTTGCCACCTTTCTGTAATTTATACAGTACAATAAAGGCTACACCATTGACTGTTGCTGGACTCTCGAGTTCTCTCAGCTAGCTTCTACCAAGTTTGGTTTTCTGTAATCATTCTGCTTTGTATTTTGTGTACATTATGTGAAAACTTGGAAATGTTTTCAGTCTAGTATTTATGGTTTAATTTTTACTACACTGCAAAAAAAGATTCAGGGGACAAAAGTCCTGGTAGATTATAATGAAATGGAGGATTTAGGAGACTTAAAACAGTTTACATTAAGCTATTTTCATCTTCTGCCAGCAGAATATATCTGCTTAAAAAAATAAAAACTGTCTAAAGTGTACTCCAGCATCAGGACATTGCAATTATGAACTGTGTTGTGATCTTTTCAAATAAAAAAGGCCAGTCTTTATTTTCTACAGTATAGGTTTAGTTTTAGGACTGATAGTTTACTATATCCTCATCAATGATACCTTTAAACAGTAGTTTTAAAAATGATTACATAGAGGGTATTTTAATTTGGAATATTTTCTTGTAACTGGTGCTATATGTACGTATGAAGTAGGAAAGTTGCCTAGTTAAAGGTCTAGTTTATTTTCTGACCAAAATGTACAATTTTACATTTCGGTTGCCATTCATATTTGTTTTCGCTGAACTTGTATCAAAATTGAATTAGTCTCCTAATCTTTTATGATCACTTTTCCCCAACCCATTATCCCTTTTTATGTGGTTATTTTCATAATTTAGAGGCAAAGAAACTAAGGATTAATTTGGTCAATAATGGATAATTTGAAATTATCACTTCAGTTTGTCACTGAAGTTTGGTGTACTTGAAAAGACCTTGTATCTTTGTCTAAATTTCATTGATAAATTAGAACTCCTGCCATTCATGTTTTTTAAAAGTCTACAAATACTGATAACAAACAGGATAAAAAAGCTGAATTTAAAAACTTTCAGCCCTGAGAACATTTTACATTCTGTGAAGTGCTATAATACATATTTTGTTGACTACATTTCATTTTAATTGAGTAGTTGTTAAGGTCCAAACATGGGGGAAAAATAGTTAGCTGTGATTCAATGTTCAATTGCAAAATAAAGATGTGCTTCAGTCATCTAAAGTACAGGAGTTTTCAAGGCTTCTTTATGGGAGGTTTTTGTTATCGGGCTTTTCTGACATGGCTCATGTTCATTAATGGACCATCAGTTAGGCTGGGGAGGATACTAAGCATAAAATTTATTTCTAGAAATTACGTTTTTACATAGTAGCAATTTTTGAGGAAGGGGATGATTAGGAACTAAATGGAATTTAGAAAATTAAAGAATGTCTGAAGAGCCCTCCTTCCTTCCTTCCTTGTGGTCACTGCTGACTCTTCCAGTATCAGCCCCTCTCTTCTAGTAATCCTGATATAAGACCTTGTGATTGAAAATAAAGGACCCCTCTTTCTATGCATGAAGTCAGAGTGGACAAAAGGGCAAAAATGAAGATATCTGATTATGCCATGCCTCCGTTCTTATATGCATGATGATTAGTGTGTCAGGTGGGTGGCATACGCCTATGTTCCGGCTTATGAAAAGGGTGAGGCAGGAGGATTGCTTGAGCCCAGGAATTTGAGACCCTATCACAAAAAAATCATTATGAGAAGCAGTATGAGGAAGAGCCGAGATGATTTGTGACAGCCTCTTCCCTCGTGCCCCATCTCTAAAAGGAGTTCCTCAAGCCAAAGGCAACCTCCTTTCAATTATATTTTATTGGGGAGGGGTATATTTGTGAATTTGCATATACATACACAATACGTTAATGCCGACAGGATTGTACAATCTAATCTATATAACTTTTATTTTTGAATATTTCCATATCAGTTCTACCTCATTCCTTGTTTTTTGTTTTTTGTTTTTTTCCTTGAAGTACCAGAGATTGAACCCAGGGCCTTGTGTATGTCAAGTGCTCTACCACTGAGATCCACCTCCAGCCCTACTTCATTCTTTTTAATCAGGAAAATTCTTTTTAATTGAGGAAAAGATTGCCCTGATCAACCTTTAAACCCAAATATGAATATACCATAATTTGTTTTTTTTGTGTGTGGTACTAGAGATTTTACCCTACCACCGAGCTTCACTACCTCCCCACCCCCAGCCCTTTTGATAAATTGGAACTGGCCTCGAATTTGTGAACCTCCTACCTCAGCTTCCTGAATGGTTTAAATTATAGGCTGCACTACTGGTACCTGGCTGATAGGTTTATACAAATGTTAAAAATGTCACCCCATCACTTCCACTAGCCTCACAAAAGAATAAAAAATAAATTGGTGAGGAGCTTGCAATCCTTTTTTCTCATCCGTGCAAGCAGCTGAGTTGCAAATGTGCCACTGCAGCCAGCAACTGACATTTTTTTTTTTTTACAATATATTTTTTTAGGTGGTGCTGAGGATCGAACCCAGTGCCCCACATGTGCAAGGCAAGTGCTCTACCACTGAGCAACAGCCCCCAACAGCTCAGCCCAGCTGACACTTTCTTAATCACCACCCAGATAAACTACTCAGACTGGCACATAGCTTCATGCTCTAATTATTTATTTATTTATTTTAACTTTTGCTTTATTTTTATGTGGTGCGGTTAGGAACAAACTCAGTGCTAGGCAAGCGCTCAATAGCCCCATCCCGAGGCTTCATACTCTTGATCTCCCCTTACATCTATTGACTGCTCTCTTTTATGCCAGAGCTCTTTTCAGTTCTACCAGTTAAACCATAAACTTTCTAAAACCCATTAAGTTGTGTGCTATTATACGTATGCAGAGTTACTTATATCAAATGATTGTATATTACATAAATCTATGACAGAGTGAAAAGAGTTGGTTTTTCCAAAAACCTTATAAAGATGAGTCATTACAGTTTTAAGGGTTTTTTTTTCCCCTTTAGTATTGAGGATTAAACCCAGGGGTGCTCTACCACTGAGCCACATTCCCTAGGCCTTTTTGTGTTGAGACAGGGTTGCACTAAGTTGCTCAGGGCCTTGCTAAATTGCTGAGGAGGGCCTCCAACTTGCAATCCTCCTACCTCAGCCTCTCAAGTAACTGGAAGTAAGGGGTGTGCCACCATGCTCAGCAAGGATTATCTTCTTGATTTTTTAAAGATTTTTTTAAAGATGGCAAGACAACAATGAAAAACAAAAACATAGCCAGGCACAGTAATGTACACTACTGTATACTAGTGTACTAGTGTACACTTTTCCAGTGACTCAGGAGGCTGAGGCAAGAGAATCACAAGTTCAAGATCAGCCCAGGGAATTTATTGAGACCCTGTCTCAAAAATAAGGACTGGATATATAGCTCAGTGGTAAATCATCCCTGGGTTCAATCTCTAGTACCTCCTCTAGGGGGAGTGGATAGGGAACAAGATGGTAACACTTAGGGCCTTTTTATTTTTTCTTCCCAATAAAAACTAAGGGATTATAATGAGGCTGAAACATAAAAAATAAAAGAAGGTGGGCTGGGGTTGTGGCTCAGTTGTAGAGTGCTTGCCTTGCATGTGTGAGGTACTGGGTTCAATTTCTCAGCACCACATATAAATAAATAAAGGCCCATCAACAACTAATAAAATATTTTTTTAAATGAATAAAAGAAGGAGGAAGAAAATACCTGCCTTTCATAAAAAGAATCACAAGAAAGGGTTGGTGATGTAGCTTAGTGGTACAGTACTTCCTAGCATGTGTGAGTTCAATTCCCAGCACCACAGAAAAAAATAATCTCAAACACAGTTTGTGGCACAGGCCTATAATCCCAGCAATTTGGGAGGTTGAGGTAGGAGGATTGCAAGCTTCAGGCTCTGCCTCTAAATAAAGAATAGAAAGGGCTGGGGGTTGGAGATATAGTTCAGTGGTAGAGCACCTGCCTTGCAAAGCCCTGGATTCAATTCTCAGTATTGCAAGAACAAATTCAGAAAGGGCTAGAGATGTAGCTCAGGGGTAGAGTACCGTGGGTTCAGTCCTCAGTACCACAAAAAAAAAAAAAAAAAACAGAAAAGGCAAGAATATTCACTCTTGCCAGTTTTATGCAACAGAGTACTGGAAGTGCTATTGAGAAAATCACACAAGAAAAGTGCTAAAAAGGCATTTGAATCAGAAAGGTGGAAAATGTTTCCTTATTTGCTGATGGCATGATCCTATAGATAGAAAACCCCAGCCCAATACATATTTGTAATCCCAGCAGCTTGGGAAACTAAGGCAGGAGGATTGCAAGTTCAAAAGCCAGCCTCAGCACTTAGCAAGGCCTTAAGCAAGTTAGTAAGATGCTGTCCCCCAAAATAAAAAAGGCTAGGGATTGGGCTGGGCTTGTGGCTCAGTGGAAGAGAACTTGCCTAGCACACGTGAGG